ACTGCAAAGACAGTCACTAGCAGAATATTATCTGCTTACAAAACACCAAAACAGGGCTATTACTTCTATAATGGAATTAAAAAAAAAATCTCATCTACCCAGTTGGATTCTAGAAGAAAAAGTATTTAAAGAGACATAGCTGAAATTGACAGCTCCAAAATTGCATGTATTTTCATTGAAAAGTTATTAATTCTCTTATTGTGCTCCTGAATTCCAACTGTGTTTTCCCTCAAAGCAAGAATGCCACAGAACATTTTAAATTAAAAATGGCACTCCTAAGATACACTACAAAAGACAAACTGGGGGTGCTCTCCTCTCTACACTGTTGAAGAAGTGCTTGTAGAAATTTTCCCACAATAATGCCATCAGTTGCTCTGTTCAATATTTGTGAGGGGCTTCATGATCAAACCCCAAACTCTCTTGCCTTCTTCAAACACTTCCTAAAAAACTGTATTGTGCTGGTCACACTTTTTGGGTTCAGTGCCATGAGAGACAGAGACAGAGAGACAGAGAGAGAGAGAGAGAGAGAGAGGGAGATAACCTCTGTCCTCTTTGAGCCCACAGTCTACCTTTTTGCTATTTGAAAAAGAGATTATCTAGTTGAAACTGAGGATTATTCTAGTAGGTTTGAGAAGGGGCTCTAAGAAATATCACATACAATATTGGATGGGGGGGCCTTGCTTTCAAATAATATATTTGCTCTTTTGTATTTGTTCGGGAGCAAAGCATTTTTAAAGCAGTTGACCATACTGTAGTATTTTATATTTTTGTTGACTAAAAAGGCACTTTTATAAATTGATGTGGATTTAAAAGAATAGAGGCTACTAAGAGGATGCTATTTCCTGAATGCTTAGTGAGATGTGATTACTAGGGAACAATCCTGGACACCTCTCAGAACAGTAAAGTCTCTGGTTCACTTATTCAGACTTTTGACTATGTAGATAAAGTCTCAGCTGAAGTTCCAAGTTTGCAATATGTCTTACTAGTAAACCAAACCATAAAGATACCTCAGAAATATCGGTATTTTTGTGTCTACATCTGGAAGGAATACAGAATCCTGGGTCAGATCCTGGGTCTTGAATCTTAGTTGAGGAAATACAGGCATCTTACAGGCTTAGGCGAACTGATAATATAAAATATTCATGTCAATTGTTTTGATCTGGTATATGAGTTCTAGATATTTTAAAATAAGTAAACTACACTTATTTAAAAATACCATACACTTATTTATAAACATCAAATACTTTTGGAAAAGGGAGCGGGCACTTTTTACCTTGTTGTTGCCTACATACTTCTAAGTGGTTAAAAATGTATATATTGTATGGAATCAAATTTAATATTTAATTTAAAATGTCTGAAATAATTCAGACTCTTTAACAGTTGTGGTTGGCCAGAAAGGCAGGATTTTATTGTCATGCAAAAAATGGATACTCTAGGATATTTTAAGATCTTATTTCTCTTAAATTTACATTTTTAACTTGTTTACTAGCTTTGCAGATATTTTACCTTTGAAATGAACTGAAACAGGGGCACCTGGGTGGCTCAGTGGTTAAGCGTCTGCCTATGGCTCAGGTCATGATCCCAGGGTCCTGCTCAGCGGGAAGCCTGCTTCTCCCTCTCCCACTCCCCCTGCTTGTGTTCCCTCTCTCGCTGTGTCTCTGTCAAATAAATAAAATCTGAAAAAAAAAAAATGAACTGAAATAAAATTGGCTATGAGATTTTAAAGAAATATATTAACTGGTTTTGGTGTAATAAAAAAGTTTACATGCTCAATGTAGAAAGTTTGGGAAATACAGAAAAATGTAAAGAAGATGAAAGTTGAACAGCCGAATAACCCAGAGACAGTTATTGTAATATACTTATGTGCCTGCTCATCTCATGATAAGTGTCTGTTTGTCTCATTTCAAGATATATATGTGTCTTCTGTGATCATATTGTATTTAATATCCAACTTCTTTCATATTATATTGTGAGTACTTTCCCATGTAATTGAAATTATTTATATATATTTTTGCATAATTTTTTTCATGGTATTTATATGGCATTGAATCAATTAAATAGCTGTACTATTTTATTTCCCCATTATTGAGCATTTGTGTCATTTCACATCTTATGAATAGTACTATAGTGAAATCATTTCAATAAATCTATTTTCAAATTCTTATAGTTTCCTTGAGATAAATTCTCAAGGTTAATGGATATAAACATGTCCACATCCATCTGATTTTAAAATCAGCTTCACTTAACTTAGTTTTATTGGCTCTTGGATTTCAGCACAGGATGAATCTGTGAGAACAAGTTACTCCACTGCTAAACAGAAGGAAAGTGAACTACCTATTGAGTACCATACTTTTGGATTTTCTGGCCGTAGGAGTGACTTGGATTAGTCTTGTTTTAATTGTTCTTATTGGCAGAAAACAACTCAAGGTAGTGTTCAATGAAGCCCTTTGGACACCATGATAATGACGCTTACTTTTAAGAAAAATGACATTTTAAAACCATAAGCTTTACCTTGAAAATATCAAGAGATAATAAGTGACGACTTGGGAACAGAAAGGCACAGTCTGTCTTGTTTCATGATTTACATACTCTTTGAAAGAATAAAAAACCCCAGACATACAAGCGAAATACTTGTCAACTTACTTGTGATGAATATAAACGTATTCTACGTACTAGCTTTAGCTGGCAAGAACCATGGAGCATCAGTTCTATAGATAATACAGCCAATTGTTTTGGCTAAAAAGCGTCTTTGGAATTGTTCTGTTGCTGAAAAAACCTTTTCTTAATTCAGTTAACACTTCACTTATTAAGTACTATTAGGAAAACTAGCTCTTTGTTAAAAGCAAATGTTCTAAGTGAATCAAGTTTTTGCCTGTAAGTGCCAACATATTTTGAAGCCTTCCTCAAATAGAACAATACTAATGTTCCTGCCTTCTTAACCCAATTATACAGAATATAAGGTACCCTTTATTGATGATCCCAGGTCATTTTTAAAACCATTATAATTATTCATTTGGTCCTTAGAGCCTGTATGTCCCTGCTCTGTCACCAGTTTGTAAGTCTTTTATTTTTTCATTGATAGGAGGTTTTTTATTATTTATAATTGTAAACATGCTTGCTTTCATCAATTTTCTCCCTCCTCTTACCTGTATTTTCATTCTGTTGTTGAAAGTTCATTAGAATCTATGCAAAATAAAGCAGCTTCTAAATGGGGACTCAAGGAAATACCTCGAGTAGATCTTTGGTGTATGGAATCTTTGAAAATATATTTTGGTTTCCTATAGCTTTGCTTGCTTCCAGGTTCCTGACCATTTCAGAGAGTGACACTGTTAATGCACCACAAACCTAATAGACAGGATAATGATCATTGGGCATACCAAATTGCCTTTGACTAGGTTTTCTGGCTTTTACTCATACCTCTTCATACGTTAATCACAGGGAGCCTTTAAAAATAGGAACTTGTAGCTTCTCTTGCTTCCTCATACTTGGAGTAAATCCAGATACTTTTTCCACCACGGAGCGCCGGGCCCGACCGCGGGCCCCCTCACCTCACTCACCTCACCCCTCTCATCACCCTCCTCAACCAGGAATGGACTCTCGTCCAGAGTCTTGGGCACCTCTCCTCTGCTTGGCTTTTCCCTTCTTCATTCAGATCTCTTTTCAAACTTCACCAGCATCCCTTGTCACTCTCCATTCCCTCAGCCTGTTTTCTGATGTTATTTAATTCCCATTACAGTTCTAAGAGGTAGGTATCACTGAATGTCCATTTCATAGGCTGGTCGAATTGAATCTCAGAGGAGTTAAATAAACTTACCCAAAACCCACTGAGTTCTGAGGCAGGGGGTGTTGGGAGCAAGGGAGCAGGGTATGCCTTGGGTTAGCTTTGACTGGTATGTATTTTAGATACGATCACTGAAGCAACTGGATACATTATGTACACAAGTAGCAAATCTGACCGGAGAACAAATTCCATGGGAGAGAAAAAACAATGTGTAAAAGTTTTTATTTTCCCAAGGGGAGATACTCATAGGTGATGGTTAGGTTCTTGAGGCTAAAGCAGAAATGTATCATGTAGCTAAACATGACCCAGTTATACTGAACCTTGAGCCCTGAGACCACTGGGGAGGAGGAACAGAAGCACCACTGTTAGAGCAAGTCTCCTGGCAGTGCACCGGGAGGCAGGGACCAGGTGTCAGAGCAACTTAGCCAGCAGGCCTAGGTCTCTGCAGTGAGTTGGAGTTCCCTGAGGCAGCACTTGAGTACACAAGTCAGTCATAAACCGAATGATTTTAAGTTGAACACTTCCTGCCACTAATGTGTTATCTGTATGCTTACAAGCAAGAACAACAGAAATGGAAAACCATAAAGAAAAATAATGGAGAGACAGTATTAGATGTGGTTAACACTAGGCTGGTCACCCAGCTCCTCAGGGATGGATGTGTTGCCCAGCTGGGGGAGTGGGGTCAGCAGGCTGCCTGCGGTAGTCAGGTCCTTTAGGGTCTGCCGCAGCTGCAGAGAACCGGCACACTCCGGGTCACACCCTTCCCAGAGCACATGGCCAGTGACTGAGAGGTGTAGGTAAAAAGGTCTGACCACTTTGACCCAATCCAGGCCCAAGTACCTCAAGTCCCTCGCAACATGTACTTTTGCAGACCCCAATCTCGGATATTAGGTTTAGTTGTTCAGCTAACAAAATGTCTCTATTGGTACACTGGCACTAAGAGAGTTAGGTTCTGGTTATCCAGTGACGAGCAGAACACTCATACTCCCTGACCTCCTGTGGGTAATCACTTAGTGAGGGGGTAGATGCTAAATAAAAATAAAAAATTAAAAAAATATATTGTACTAAGTGCCATTAGTGTCTGGAAAAACATAAAACCCCTGTAATATTGACAACTCTATTAGTTAGCATATAGGTAAAGTACTATTTTCATGTTAAAATGGTAACAATATGGGTATTTACTCAGAATGCACTTTATCAAAATAACACTACAACAAAGTTGTTGGTATAACAAAATATTTATTTAATCCTTTTAAGTCTGCAATCTAAGTCAACCATTCAGTTACTTATGTCATCAACTCAGATCAATGGTAAAATTAAAGAATGCATAAAGACTTTTGATATTAATAAGTTAAATGTGGACTCTAGCAGGGATCTGTTGTTCTTAGCTGCCCACCATCCACTATTCTTATAATGGCACCTGAGTTTCCTGCGGCGAACTGCCTGCTCTCCTACTACGGGTCCACAAGGTACACATCTAGTAATCAAGAGTAGTACTTTTCTGTCCTGGTTCACAAGTGTGTAATCCCAGGCAGACCAAAGACAATGAGGTCCTGGACTTAGCCGGAGCTATTACACAAGCAGCTCTCATTCCCAGGGGATCAGAAAGCTGGCAGAACATCAGTCTGGAGCTCCTGGTGGCCATCATTTTGCCTGAGAATGAAGCCAACTGAATCCCTCAAAAACAGATTTTAGAGAAAAGCTTAAAATTACAACTGGGGCACTAGATCTTAAGGCTCAAAACAATAGGGTCTTATCATTGTCAGATTATGATGTTATAACGCCATCTCTTAAAATAAATACACACTTATCCCAGAGTCTCTGAAATCATTTTAGAATCTAACCTCTTTCTAGGAAGTAGCAAAATGAAAGAGCATTTTTAGTAGTCTGACAAAAACTGTCCATTATTCTCGACATTAAAAACTGAATGCAATGATTTAAAGTAACACATTATTGTTTACCTAGTATGTTCAGAATCATGTGGTTTCTAGTGATTAGAATCTCATCATGCTTGGAAAGGAACAGAAGACGGTGGCTGGAGAAGCACATCCCCTCCTAAAAGACACCTAAACACTATGCTTAGGATGACTAATATTAAGGATTTGAACATAATACAGTTTTCATCAAAGGAAACAATCTTAGTTTTTAAAGAGCATTGACTTCTGACATCTCGATTCCTGATTTCAGTGGCTGCACACTGTGTACCTCTGCGCCACACTTAGGACAAGTAAAGTACATGTCAAATAAGAAACTACTCTTCACGCAGTAGTAACAGAAGATATGCTCACATCCTATGGTGTGAGGCATGGTGGGCCACTCTCCACACAGAGAACACTGTTTGCCGCTGGTGGCTAATGTATTGTCACTATTAGGAGCACCAGTAAGAGGAATACACCATGAAGACAACTTAGCTTTCAACTTCTGGATATTAATAAGTGGTAAGAGAAATATCAGGAACTCAGCAAAACCATGCCAGAGAAGTTCCCTATTCATATACTCAAAGCCAACTTCACGTATGTTTGGGGGCTTGCAAAATACAGAACGAATGCCCAGGAGACGTTCTGTCAAAGTTGCAAACTTGCCCCTCTGAAGGAAAATCAGGAAATTAATCAGCCCACTTAATTTCAAAAGTCCAACTATGATATTCACACACTGCCTGGCTTTCCCAAATGATGCCAAATGACGGTTTCGAAACAGGTCGTAGCAGCGCTCTTCCAGCCACGTGCCGCCAATCGTACACACAGCATACCACAGTTTCTGATTCTTACTCGGCGGCTGGTACCTCAGCTTTGGGGAAAAATCATTTTTGTACTGAATATTCAAAACGGATTGTCCCACGGTGGCATTTTTAGAGTAGACAGTGAATCGCCACAAGAAAAGCCACAAGAACGCTTTCACCTCTGGTTCAAAGTGGGCTAATAGCCCTGGCTTAAATCCATGAAAGCACTGAGAAAACTGGGACCAAACTAGCTGCTCCAGGGCCTTGTTCAGTTCAAGTGCATCCAGCTGACTTATTCTTAGCACTCTGTTTGTCCTTTTCGTGTTCTCTTCCTTGGAGGCCATGTCTTCTTTGAAGGTCTCTAGGGGTAAAGTACAATTAGGGAACATCAAACATTTGCAAGCTTGTACCATCTCCTCAACTTACAGATCTAAAATTGTGATGCACAAATGACCAGGGCCCACTGAAGATGGAGCTGGCGGTAGGTGTCAAACAGCAGCGCACACAATCAATCACCTCTTACATGGAACCTTCTCTTTCTCCCTTCCCTCCTCCCTCCCTCCCTTCTTTTCGTTGCTATTCTTTTTCTTTTTTTTTCTTTTTTGGACCCTCCTCATCAAAGGAATAACAGGTTGTAGCAAGTTGCATCCTTTTTCCACAAATTACATCCAAGTAATCCTCCTTGGTCATTTTAGCAGGGAGATCATAAAATCCTGATACTAACAGTGATGAAGCTAAATAACAACATGACTAATGGAGAAATACATGAACTTAATAAATACAGTGAACTCTATGGAACATTCCAACGGATGTAAGTCAAGACCTCAGGTTAACTGCCAGCACTTCTACTGACTCCAACGGCATATATTTTTTAACAAGTCATTTAATTTTTCTGAAATATGTTTTATATCCATAAAGTTAGGAGAAAAAATTAAATGAACAGTGTTTATTACGCTATCACACTATGGCAGAAAATAAATACTAGCACAAAACAACATAAATGCAGAAATGCTGTTATTCAGACATTAAGAAGATACACATCAGTTTTCTAAGAAAACTATGATGTAAAAATATATACTAAGACCATTTCATAAAAAAAAATAAGGAATCATAGGGGGACGAAAGGGGACAAAAATCTTTTAAAATGAAATAGAAAAAGCTGATTAGTGGTTAACTAGTTATATGTGACTCATTCAAAACACACTTATTAAATGCCTATTATGTACAAGCCATGGTGATTAAAACACTCAGTGGCTGCTATCGTCAAGGAGTGTACAAACCAGTTTAGATATTTTACTTATTATTAAAAAACTGGTAAATCTAAACTATGACAAGAAATCTGTTTAAATTTAGTTTCTAAAATGGGCCCTGAACACATGGAGCTTGATCTTGATCATGCACGATTTCCGGACCTTCAAAGGGCCTAGTGCACTAATAGAACACTAAGTTGCAGAGGGAGGCGGGCGTCCCACTGAAGTTCACTGTCACCGACAGCGTGGCAGTTGTGACCTTGGACAAGTCACTTCACCTAGTTCTGCTTTACTTTTTTCACTTACAAAACTGAAGGCCAGAGATAAAATGACCTCTAGGGTCCTTTCAAATTCTGTTTATGATTTTTACTAAAAAGATATTAAATGTAATTTGTTAGAAGTTAAAGGACTGAAAGGTACACCCTAAAATAAAGTTATACCTCTTGAAACTGGGAATGTCTCTGACAGGTAAAGAGGTTTTTGTTTTCTGACAATTAAAGAGGTTTTGCAGAGGGATGTTTTTAAATTACGCATGGATCCTAGATGACTCAGTGGCAGAAAACTACATGCTTAACAAGTTCAAGTATAGGAAACAAAAGTGCCTACTGAATAATAGGTGTATCCTGCTGCTTTCCTCTCCAATCTAGATATTTGACAGGAATGTTTCTCTCCCATAAACATTATCTGCCTTCTGGGATGATCTCACCTTTTCCCCCTTCCTACAGCTCCCTCAAAATTTCACAGCTTACAGCTATGGCAGGGGAGATTTTTGCTGCAAGTTCTGTGAAATCCTTGCCTCATACTAGCCAGGAGCTACAGGAAAAGAAGAAGGGGGTTAGAACCGAGTTCCCTTTCTTCTCTCTACAAATCTCATCAATCCCCAAGGTTCTGCTCTTTGCCCCAAATATTTTTCTAATCCATTCACTACTCTATCCCCTGCAGGCCTCTTCCTAAATTCAGCGGCTCTCATCTCTCTGTTGGATTACATCTAATTGGTCTATCCCACCTTTTGCCTTTTTCAGTGCATTTCCCACACTGCAGTTGTTCAAACACACAAGCCTCCCAAACTACCCCAGCTTGCTTTCCTTCCTAATCGGTTGACCTCTAGTCATAAGGTGCCCCCTTCTCTTGTTCCCTAGTGAACATTTACGGTCTGTTCCCTCCATCTGGAACAGTACGTTCCTGTTCTTTACTTGAAAAACTCAGTTTTCAGTTTTTAAGTCCTAAATTTTTAATAGTGGTTTAGGCATCACTTCCTCCTTACTCCAAACTTGGGTTGGCTGCCTCTTCTAGTTGTTCCCTTAGCACTCCATTCTTCCAACTTCTTGGCCCTTATGTACTGTACACAGGCTATTTTTTAAATTGTCTATTTCCTCCACCAGAGGATAAACCCTGTTGCAAAGACTGAGTCTTGTTACGGCTGAATCACAGCAACCAGCACAGCACCCAGTGCACGTGATGTATACTACACAGACTAGATGAATAGGATAAAGGCAGGGGTAGCTGAAGGATAGAAAATACAAATTCCTACCCAGTAGCCTTTAAAACTATTTCATATTATCATATCCGGACTATTGACTATTACCTATTTCAACACGTTTGTTGTACACTGGCTGTTTACCAGTTACTGATACAATAGTAAACTGACACAGTTTCAACCCCTTGTGGAGACTACAATGTAGTGAGGTGAGGGGTGGGTAAGAATGTGCTATATAAAATAATAAACAGGCTATTACAATAAGGTGTTAGGAGTGATATGCAAGGGGAAATCCAGGGCATTATTTTTGACACTAGACCTCAGACGCTCAGAGAAGGTTTCACAGAGAGCTAATATCTAGGCAGCTACCTGAAAGATTAGTAGTGTAGCCTGGTAAAGGAAGGTAAAGGAAAGCTATTCCAAGCAGAGGGAGAGCAGGCAACAAGGACTGAAGGTACAAGGACAAAGGGCTGGAAAAGAAGGCAGGACACCAATAGTAAAGGCCAAACTGAGGAGGCTGTATTTTATCAAGATGTTAATGGGGAGCCACTGGATAGTTTAAGAAAAGAACTAATCAAATCTGCATTTTAGACAGCTTGTTCTGGCCACATTCAGAATGGATTTGAAGCTGAAAAGACTCGAGGCAGAGACCAGTTAAGATGACTGTTACATGATTATTAAAGTGATCAATGAGAAAGTCCCGATGGTCTAAATTATAAGGGTATCAGTAGGGATGGAGAAAAATAGGTATCTTTAAAACTATGAGAAGTCAGAAGTGACACGATTTAATGAGAAATAAGCCAAGAATAACTGATTTGAGTAATTGAATGGATGGTAGTCCAATTCTCTGAAATAGGAAACACATGCAGTGATACAGGTTTGAAGGAGAGGTAATAACCACAGTAGTGTTAGAGATCTGAGGCTCCTATGAGACAGCTAGAGCTCAGTAGGCAGTAGTATGGAGACAGGAGAGAAAATCTGGGTGGAGATTTTGAGTGAGGGGTCCCTCTTGTAGGACTAATGTACTTTAAATCTACTTGATATACTTAAACACTAAGATCAGGAAGGCAGTGAACTAATTAAGCAAGAGCAGTAGATCCTGCCCACTTAAAACATGCTCAGCTTTCTTTGTAATAATATAATCTTATTCTCATAGTTTTCCTGTTCCAGCTAGCATGGCTGTTCATTGGTTTTGTTCACTGGCATCATCTACATCTTTGGGCTTTCAATCTTTCTATGCTGCGGTCTTCACCATCAGTCCTGCAGTCTCACTGTTCTTTTTGGCTAGTGGTTTTCAAACTTGAGCATTTATCATGATCACCTGGATTTCTTACATTGCAGTGTTTCAGTTCCAGAGTTTCTGAATCAGTAAGCCTGGAATGGGAGCCAAGAATTTGCATTTCTAACAAGCTTCCCGGTGATGTTGAGAATGAATGGGCTAGTCCACTTCAAAGCGAACTTTTTCTGGCATATCTACCATCTATATAGCTCCATGCTGTCTGCCAGCCCTCCCACTCATTTCTGTTTAGTTCTCATCCCTGTACCCACAGTGGCTGTTACAAATCTTGCACTGACTCTGGCTCTCCCTTTCTTTGGTTAAGTGGACCCTGTGAGATTAGAGACTACTCATGAATTCCGTAAACTCTACAGACATCAATACATCCTAGCCCTGCTGGGTGCTTGGGATGCAGAGATAAACAAAACATCCTGGTTCTCACTTAAGGACCCTAACCAAGGTCTAGTAAGGGAAGCAGGCAAGTAAACGGACAACTAGGGTAATAACAGAGGTATATGGTATCGCAGGTTCTCAAAGGCAATATGTAACATTTTGAAACTATCTCAAGAGAAAAAGAATTCCAAAATCCATTTTTCTCACTTTTTCTGCAGTTTACACATTTTCTCTTATATGCATTATGTAATTGAGGGAAACAAAGAGAACTTTTTTTTTTAAACCCCAGAAGCAAATTAAAATCCACAAAATTATTTGCCTACATTTACCAAATCATCTCTTTCTTAACCTCAGTATTACCTCTGGGATAAAGTACAATCTTCTCAGATGCAACCTAGCCCAATTCTGTCTCCATCTCTGCAAACGAACAAGCCACTACTCTCCAGTGGAGTCCTTAATTCCATGCCTCAATCCTGACTCTGTGCCTCTTCTCATGTACCTAAAAGACTCACCTTTCCTGCCAACTCTTCCCACTGCCCACAACTCTCTGCCCTTCACATTCCAACTCTATTTCAACATTCTCTGTGAAACCTTCATAACTATCTCCAACTCCTATTATCACCACCTTTAACTCTGACAGCAACTGTCTGTGCCACTCACTTGAGCCCTCACCCAACTGTCCTGTGATTTCAGTCATGTCAGTACATCTTCTTTCCGTAGTTTATCTGTAAACTTGTTAAGGGAAAGTGCCTTATCTTATACTTATTTCTCAAAGCACCTGCCACCTAAAAAGAGACTGATTTCTAGCTCGGTTTTCCTCATGCAAAATTCTACAATCATTCATGGTATGTGGAAATATTAACACGTGGCTCCTCTACCACCATAGTGTCTACAACTCTCTATCTTCCCCAGATTTCATATTCTGTGGCCAGCAAGATAAGGGAAGATCTCTTATAGTCAAACTA